TGGACTCGGGTTTTGACCCAACCCGAGTGAGACCTTTCATGTGAAATGTAACACCTGACTTTTCATGTGGAGTGTTAATGATGTTGATTACCAGTTAATGGTGATAACTCCTGGTTAATGGTGAGTTAACACCTGAAAAATGTTTCTGCCTATTATCATTGCCTTTAGTGGCAGATGTGACTGTTGGTTTCCCTCAAGATGTGGAAGTTCTATAAATAGGACATAGAGCTGCAGAGAAAAGACACAACATTTTCATGCAATCTGAATACTCTCAAAGCCTCACGCATCATATCATAGTACTCAGTTCTCGTCTTCCAATCCGTTTGCTGGAACTCTGAAGGCTGGTGTGCTACAGCTTCAGAGTGTATTGCCGTTGTATCTTTGGGGACATTACGCAAAGACCCGTCAGCACTATACGGGGCGTATTTGTCTTGCGGAAAGATTTCAATCGCCTCGGCTTTCAATCTGTCCGCATTTGAGTTGTAATTTTTTATTTTGTTTTAGTTCTACTTGTACGAACTGAACACTTCAGTCAGTTCATAGGTTCCCGTTGTAATTCAAAACACACTTTGTGTAACAATCGCAAGACAAATACTGAGACCTACTGAACTGATGGCATCCGCTGGAGAAGGATCAAAAACTCAACCACCTGTCACCCCCGCTGTTCATCATCCCCAACCAGCTGTTCATGTTCCCACTGCTGAGAAGCTCGAAAATTTCAACGGGCTTGATTTCAAGAGGTGGCAACAGAAGATGCACTTCTACCAGACCACTTTGGGTTTGATGAAGTACCTGAAAGACGACCCTCATGTCGTAGCTGAAAATGAATCGAATGCTGAGCTGCGAGCTGCATACGATGCTTGGGGGCAAGGTGATTACCTTTGCCGGAACAATGTCCTCAACGGACTGAGTAACGAGTTGTACAATGTGTATAGCTCGGTTGGCTCTGCCAAGGAGCTTTGGGCTGCCTTGGAGAAGAAATACAAAACTGAGGATGCTGGGGCGAAGAAATTCGTCGTCGGCAAATTTCTGGAATTCAAGATAGTCGACACTAAGACCGTCGTGTCTCAAGTGCAAGAGTTCCAACTCATCTTGCACGACATTCATGCTGAAGGAATGTCTCTGAGCGAGTCATTCCAAGTTGCGGCTGTGATCGAGAAACTGCCGCCGGGTTGGAAAGACTTCAAGAACTACCTCAAGCACAAGAGGAAGGAGATGAGTCTTGAAGATCTGGTTGTTCGTCTTCGGATTGAAGAGGACAATCGGAAGTCTTCGGGGAAGGCCCCGATGATGGAAGCTCGTGCCAACTTGCTGGAGCAAGGCAACTCGAGCAAAAGGAAGCCCCTTAACAAAGGGAAGCAGCAGCCTGCCAAAGTTTGGAAATTTACCGGCAATTGCCACAACTGTGGAAAGTCGAACCATATGTCTAAGGACTGCAAGAAGCCTAAAAAGGCTGGTCTGAAGAAGGCACAACATGATGCCCTCATTGCTGAACACGGCCATGTTCCGAGTGAACTAACTGACGTGGATATGTCGGTTGTGGTGTTTGAAGCCAATTTGGTGGATAACCCAAGGGCGTGGTACATTGATACTGGTGCCACTCGCCACGTGTGTTCCGACAAGGGGTTGTTTTCTGACTACACCCCTTCAAATGGTCGGAAGCTCCACATGGGCAACTCCTCCTCGTCTGATGTGGCTGGAGTTGGCATCGTGGTGCTGAAGCTGACTTCTGGAAAGGATTTAAAGCTTAAGGATGTGCTGCATGTCCCAGACATCCATAAGAATTTGGTCTCCGGATCTCTTCTTGTAGAGCATGGTTTTAAGTTAGTGTTTGAAGCTAAAACGTTTATTCTTAGCAAGTATGGTAAATTCCTTGGTCGTGGCTATCTCGACAATGGTTTATTTAAAATGAATGTAATGGCCGTGAGCCGTGTAACCGTTTCCAATGATAATGAAAATCGTACTTCTGTTTATATCGTGGAGTGTTCTGATTTATGGCATATTAGATTAGGACATGTGAATCTAAATGCAATTAAACGGTTGATGAACTTAGAATTAATTCCTAATTCTAAAATTGAATCACACAAAAACTGTGAAATTTGTGATGAAGCCAAAATGGCTAAATTACCTTTTCACTCGGTGGAAAGAAATACTGAACCGTTGGGTTTAATCCATACTGATGTATGTGACTTGAAGTTTGTGCAAACAAGAACGGGTAAAAGATATTTTATAACTTTTATTGATGATTGCACAAGGTTTTGCTACTTGTATCTTTTAAGAAGCAAAGACGAGGCTGTGGAAGCTTTTAAAATTTATAAGACCGAAGTTGAAAATCAACTCGACAAAAAGATTAAAATAATCCGAAGTGATAGGGGTGGGGAGTATGTAGCTCCTTTTGAACAAATATATTCTGAATATGGCATAATTCATCAAACGACAGCCCCCTATTCTCCACAGTCGAACGGTGTTGCTGAACGCAAGAACCGGACTTTAAAAGAGATGATGAATGCCATGTTGATGAATTCAGGATTACCCCAGAATATGTGGGGGGAAGCTGTTTTAACAGCAAATCATATTCTGAATAAAATACCATCTAAAGGGAAAAATAAGACTCCTTACGAAATGTGGAAAATCGTAAGCCGTCTTATAAGTACCTGAAAGTGTGGGGGTGTTTGGCTAAGGTTTCAGTTCCTGAACCAAAACAAATGAGAATCGGACCTAAGACGGTCGATTGTATTTTTAATGGATATGCATACAATAGTACTGCATATAGATTTCTGGTTCATAAATCAGAAAATCCGGAGGTATCGGTTGGTACCACTATTGAGTCGAGGAATGCTATATTCTTCGAGAATATTTTTCCTTTGAAGGAAAGGGCAGAATCTAGTTCTAACAAAAGGACGTATGAAACTGCTAGCGGTTCTGTACCAGATGGTACTAAAGATAAAGAAGAAGAACCGAGACGTGGTAAAAAGGTAAAAACGGCAAAAACGTTTGGACCTGATTTTATTACGTATATGTTGGACGATGAACCGAGTTCCATTAAGGAAGCTCTGTCTAGCCCAGATGGACCACTCTGGGAAGAAGCTATAAATAGCGAAATCGAGTCCATTATGCAAAATCATACTTGGGAGTTGGTTGATCTCCCTGCGGGTTGTAAATCTTTAGGATGCAAGTGGATCCTAAAAAGAAAATACAAAGCTGATGGAACGATTGATAAGTTTAAAGCAAGATTAGTGGTCAAAGGCTTTAAACAAAAAGAAGGGTACGACTTCTTTGATACATATTCACCTGTGACGCGTATAGCGTCAATTAGAGTGCTTCTCTCTATTGCTGCTTTGCACAATCTTGAGATTCATCAAATGGATGTCAAAACGGCATTTTTGAATGGTGAATTAGAAGAAGAGATTTACATGGAACAACCCGAAGGTTTTGTAGCACCTGGACAAGAGAAAAAGGTGTGCAAATTGATCAAATCCTTGTACGGACTTAAACAAGCTCCGAAACAATGACATTTAAAATTTGATGACGTGATGTTGTCAAATGGATTCAAAATCAACGAATGTGACAAATGTGTTTATGTTAAAAACACATCAAATATATATGTAATTGTATGTCTATATGTAGACGATATGTTGATCATGGGGAGTAGCCATGATGTGATCATGGATACGAAACGAATGTTGAAAAGAAAGTTCGACATGAAAGATATGAGTTTAGCTGATGTAATTCTTGGAATAAGAATTATTAGAACCCAAGATGGAATTGTCTTGTCACAATCTCATTACGTAGAGAAAGTGCTCAAGAAATTTAATGCCTATGAAGGTCCTTTGTCTAGGACACCTCTTGATCTTAGCATAAATCTGGAAGCCAATAAAGGTCAACCAGTTGCTCAATTAGAATATTCACGGATAATAGAGAGTCTAATGTACTTGACGAACTGTACACGACCAGACTTGGCCTATCCGGTGAATAAGTTGAGTAGGTTTACGAGCAATCCCAGTCATGAGCACTGGAATTCTTTGAAAAGGGTACTGAAGTACTTAACGTACACCCTTGGATACGGGCTAAAATACTCGAGATATCCAGCAGTACTTGAAGGATATTGTGATGCAAGTTGGATATAGGATTCGAGAGATTCTCACACCACAAGTGGATATGTCTTCTGTATCGGAGGAGGATCTGTTTCATGGAAGTCCACAAAAAAAACATGTATAGCTCGGTCAACCATGGAGTCGGAGTTCATCGCTTAGATAAAGCTGGTGAAGAAGCCGAGTGGCTTCGAAACTTTTTATCTGATATTCCATGTTGGAATAAACCTTTGTCGCCTGT